GATTTCACTTTCCAAAAACTGATGCAGAAAATGTGAATGGAGAATTTTAGAAAGCCTGTCCGTATCATGTAGGCTATACCCTGGCCATGTTTGACTGGACCCAGCCAAACTCACTGAAGGCCCACTCTGTGCTGAGCAGGGTCTAGTCTCCGAGGCTTGAAAGGCTGAGGAAGGGCTGACTGCCCCTGCAGGAGCTCACAGCTTTGTTGGGGGGCGGGGAGGGTAGGACACTAGACTATGGATGAAAAAGAAATTTCCCACACAGCAGAAGTATCTACAGCGTGATGCAAAGGACAGACTTATGCCCCAGAACTAGACCTGCTGGGTTCCCCTGGGGCGCCTGGGTGGCTCAGGCATTTTAGTGTCCCACTCTTGATTCTGGCTCAGGGTGTGATCTCAGGGTCATGAGATCGAGCCCCAAGGCGGGCTCCAAACTCAGCAGAGAGTCAGCATGGGATTTTCTCTCTCTCCGACTTCCATCCCCCCTCAGCCCCTTTGGCACATGTGTTGCTCTCTCTCTCTCCAATAAATAAACCTAAAAAAAAAAACCACCCCAAAACCACTTCCCCTCTACAGGACACATGATACAGAAAGGTCTTTGAAATTCTCAGACCACATTTCCTGATCAGTTTAAAGAAAGTGAAATGACTAACCAAAGCTCACCCCTTCCTAGCTGTGTGATAATGAGAAAGTCACTCAATAACTTCGTATTTTGGCTTCTCATCTGTATAATAGCATTCATAGGGCCTACTTTGTATGAGGATTAGTGTATTAATATCTACAAAATGCTTAAAACAGTGCAGAGCATATGACTAATAAATATAAGGGTTGTTGGTCTCTAAATCTCATTCCCCTCTGATGCATTGTTTTTTTTTTCTGTTTCTAAATTTCTAGAAATTTCTAAAAACTAGATAATTCCTAAAACTTATCACCTTGTTTGGTAAGGTAAATATTGAAAACATACAACATTAAAAAAATATTTCTTAAATACATAAAAATGTGCAAGTTGGTTTTATAGTCTGTACTTAAACAATCCTGCTCAGGACTGGAAGATCAAGGGAACTATTGCTCTGTCACTAAGGATGTCATTAGTCTGCCACACTGGCTGTAGAAACCCCATAACGTGGGATGTGCCAGCTCATCCCTTCCCCCGCCCCCCCACCCCTGCTCCCAGGAAGAGCTTCCTCCCCTACACCCCGAGCTGGAGGGGCCCCAGGCCATCTCATCAGAGAGACCCTGCCTGCCAGCTTCCCACGGACCTGAAGAAATAAAATCTGGGCTCCAAAATAGAAAAGAAAAACCCTTGCAAGACTGAAGTTTAATATTTTATTAACTGTAACACGTGAAGCTTGATAATGTTGAATTTAACTCCCGAGTTAACGCTATAATTGCCAAGAAATCAGAATCGTTAATCAAATGTTTAAAAAGAATTAAAAAAGCAAATCATGGGTCTCCTTTCCCTAACTAGCAGCCTGACATGCAGTGGGGAGCACAGTGTATTCTGATGTTTACGGTGCTATGGGGTGGGGCGGGCAGAGGCAGGAGCACCCGGGGCTTGGAAGCCCCTAAAATCTGCTCGCGTGGAGGTTTCCGGAGGCTCTCGGAAGAGCTCAAACTTCTTCCTGCCCCTCTCGGGGCCAGCGGTGACAGCCCACAACTTCATCGTAAAAGCTGCCGGGGGCTCACGGTTAAAATACGGTGCAGCTGCAGAGAGATGGGTCGCTTCCGCCGGAATGCCGGAGTTCATGCTTTTCGTGCGCAGCAGAATTACTTGGAAACCTTTTTTTTTGGGGGGGGGGGTTGGAAGTCTGAATTTGTGATTCAGTAGGTCTGGTGAGGAGCCCGAGAATCTGCATGTGAAGATCCAGGCGGTCCAGGGGCCACACTTTGGAAACAGCTACTTTTAGTGCAGGGGGTTTTCGGAAGAAGCCAAGGAAAGGTGGGGGTAGGGGCGGGGGCGGGGGTGGGGGTGGGGAAGGGGGCGTTGCTGGCTGAGTAACCCATGTGCGCAAAATGAAGGGTAATTGCCAGTTTGGAGACAGCTGTGCCTCAGGTCACGGCTTCCCCGTGGACGACATCTTCAAAAGGTGCAGGTGCGGCCCCAAGGCTCGGAGAACGTGGCGTGGATCTGGTTCTCGAATGCGCTCAGGTGTTGCCGGTGTTGACCACTTCTGGAGGCAAAACGCCCACCTTCTCCATTCCTGAAGGAGCATTTCCTTTGAGCAGAAGCTGCCTGTTTCGAGTTCCGTGGCAAGTTTCCGAATCCCAGCCTTGCAGAGCCTGGGACCTCCGGAGGAAGAGGACGGGAGTCGGATGGCGTCATGTTCACCGACGGCGCAGCCGCGTGGTGAAAGGAGCCTCACCCGCTCGCGGCCGCCCTGCAGACCGGGGACCAGAACGCCGCGATCTCCGGGTTCGAATCCCTGCCCCTCCCGAATCGTCTGCGGGAAGCACACCGGGTCGCCTCAGCTGTGGCACTGCTGCGTGGTTTGCTCCGGGCGCGTTCCTAGTCCCTCCAGGCTGGGGCAGGGATCTTTCCCGCGTTTGGGAGGAACGTGGCGCGGGAATCATGAGCACAGACTGCGGGATCCTGCGGATCCAAACCCACATGCTGGTGTGACCGAGGCAAATGCCTTCCCTTCTCTGAGTCTCCTACACGCCGGGGGTGGGGGCCGAGGGATAGTAAGAGCTACTTCAGGAATTTGGGCTCCTTAAATCAGCCCTGGTTCCTGAAGGGCAACTACCTGGAAGTTCATTGGTGTGAAGCTAGCTGGGGAGCCGGTCTCCCTGCACTTGCTGGTGTTCTGCGGGCTCAAGCCGGCCTCGTGGAATGCTCCCTCACACGGCCGGGAGTGGGGACCCGGGCCCCTGACTTCCTGGAGCCCGGGCTGCTGGGATGTGGTCTGCGGGGCTGAGCTCAGCAAAGCTCCCTGAGAAGGAAATGGTACTGACGGAAAGACGGAAAGACGGACGTTCCAGGCTTCCCGAAAGCAATCGTCTGGTGTGGTTATCAGAAAAAAATGTCATTCCATGTCCCAGTGGAGGGAAGCAGGGATACAAATTAACCCGAAATTTATATTTGCCGGGGGATGAATCATAGGACACGAGAGGGTGGGTCGCAGGTTTTCCTTCTGGATTTTTGCTCCACAGGCGAGGACTGAGATTTATAGCTCATCCCGGACTGTGCGCGGCTCACAGGCTGGGAAGGCAGCTCAGAGCCCCGGGGACTTCGTGCTTTCAGGGGACAGTGCATGCTCAGACAGAAACTGGAAAGTTGACTTTTGATTTTTATTTGCCAAATGTGTGTGTGAGAAGGCTTTGCCACTTTCTCCGAAGTCCGGGGCCTTTGTGACACCCTCTCCCCCACACCGTGTGATCTCGGGGCTGTCAAGGGGGAACTTCCCCGTCAGGCCACCTGGGCAGGAAGGCACAGCAGGGTCCCCATGGCCAGCACTGTTTCTGAGCAGACCATGACGGCCCCGTCCTTCCCAATCTAGCCTAGAACGGCAGCCGCTCTTCATCGGCTTCGTAGTGAAAACTCCGGCTGTGGTCTGCAGTCAAATCCAGCATCCCCCGCGCACTGGCTGAGTTCTGCCGCGGCAGTACGTGGTCCGTTCCTTCATTCTGGAAAGCGGCCTCGGAGCCAGGGAGTCATGTCCTCAGGGCTGGCCCAGGCTCTCCTCATGAGGCCGCGTGGCCAGGGGAAGGTGCACCCATGGCTCTTACAGGCAGAGCTGGGGACCCTCACTCTACCCAGGAGCAGCTGTTGGAACTAGCACAATGGGGGCCTCAACGACTCAGCTGTAGGGGGCGATAATCGGAGCACCTGTGCCACGGGGTGACACGAGAATATACAGAGGGTCCCGGGCACGTCCCAGGTGTCCGGCCCATGGCAGCTCTGGTGACCTCTACGCACTACCAGCATCTTAGTAACAAGTTCCTCCTTTCCAAGAAAATGCTATCTCTCTTTTTTTAACCTTTCTAAACTCTGGCAAAGCAAAAAATTGTCCATCTCCATAGAAACCTGTGGAAACACTGGGGACACCCATTGCAATGCGTGTGAGCCCCAGGGCAGAGCCCCACACTTCTCTGTCTCAGCCTTGGGACTGACCACATTCATGTCCACATTCTACTCCGAGGGGAAATAAATTGATTTTAAAAAACAACAACAACAAAAACCGAACCAAAACAAAACAAAAACCAAGCCCTGTGTGAAAGCTTGAGGACAAGAGACTTCGAACATGTCTTGGGCGGGGCTGGACCCAAAGCCGGAGAGGTGCATCAGGTCCTGGTGCACGTGCTCCCTCCGCAGGGGCACTAGCCTGCCCAGCAGCTGAGCGGAGCTGGTGGTGTGTGATGGGAAGGACACGTGTCCCGTGTCCCTCCCACCTCTCCCTGATGTTTTCATCCTCGGCTTTAGCCCGGGGTCCCGGTATTGGATGTCGGATGGCCAGGACATTCATTATGTCAAGCACCTGGTATGCGCCCCCAGGGACAGGCTCACCAAAAAGAGGACATTGATTTTTTTTTCCCTTTCTTTTCTCGGACACCCTGCAGTCTGGCTGGGGAAAGATAAAATTACCAGTCCCTCTCAATATTTAATCTTTTTAAATCATAAAAGACTATCCCAAAGCCTTTTCCATTGAGAAGTAGAAACAAGATTTTCAGTGTGGAGAAGGTCTTGTGGAGACTGGAAACATCTGGCCACCAGTAGGCAGCCAGAATGACCTCAGGGGACATTTCTGAAGGCAGAGCCCGGTTGGCAGCCTCCTGCTGCGTCTCCGTGTAGCCTCACCCTCTCCTGTGTCAGGTGATCCCCCACTTAGGGTCCTTGAAGGATCACCTCAAGCACCAGGCTTCCCCCTACCACAGCCAGCTGCCACAGGTGTTGGCCGGCTTCCACTTGATTTGTTCTCCACCTTTTCCCTCCCCCAGGAAATCACAGCTTTTCGCACGGACCACACAGCAGGCTGCTGTCTATGCAGTCAAGACAAAGCAGAGGAGTTTGGGAAGAAGGCAGGGAGTAGAGGTTCCCTCTTCCTCCGCTTCTCTGAGGAGAACACTCAGTGCGACCAGATGGGTTTTCTCTTCTGGATGAAGGCCTTGATTCCCTCCTGCCCGTCCTTCAGGGCCACGTTGTCCACCATGGTCTGGGAGGTGAGGTGGTAGGCTGTTCGAAGGTCCTGGGGCAGCTGCCTATAGAAGGTGGCCTTGCCCAGAGATACCACGGGACGGCTCAAGGAGGCAATCTTCTTTGCGATTCTCATGGTCTCCTCCTCCAGCTGCTCTTCTGGAACAACTTTGCTCAGCAGCCCGTGGAGTAAGGCCTCCTGAGCAGAAATGGGCTCCCCGGTGAAAAGCATTTCTAAGGCCACCTGAGGGAGGAAATGTGTTACTAAGGCATGCTCCCTGTGACCCCCAGCTAGCCAAGCGCCACCCTCTCCCTTCCACTCTGCCTACTTCCCTACCACCTCAGCCCAGTTATCTGCTTTCTCAAATAACACGTCATCCGTCAGGCCCGACGTCTACAATACCCAGACTCCTGCCAGGGACAGGGTTGGATCTTTCCAAGAGCAAGGAGAAGGCGAGTGCCCAGGGAAGAACCCGACTCCCCGCCTTCCTGGAGAAGGCAGAGAGGCCTTTCCCTAGCTCCTTCACCAGAGCTGATCTCCCAGCACCCCCTGAAGCCAGGGGCTCCCCTCTGTCTCTTGCAAGGGCCAGGTACAGGACATCTGATGGGAGGGCACCAAAACTGAAGCCCCAGGCCTGCCCCAGACCGACGGAGGGGCCACTTTCCAGAAGGAGGGACATGCTCAGAGATGCCACCACCACAGTCTGACTGAAAGCCCAGCCCCCCCAAAACCAGAGACGGGGGTGTTGAAAGGAAATGCCTTCCAGGGACCAGACTCGGGATCCCGGCATGATGTAACTTACACAAGAGCCTGCCTCCTTCTAACCACCTCCGTCTCCCCACCCTTTCCAGGCCTGCAGAACGAGGGGAGAGCCTCCCTACTCTTCGTGGTTTGCTCTGTCCCATAGCCTGCCGTGTACTGCACCTCCGTTCTCTTTCCACAAAGTCTGGCCTCTTGAGATTCAAATTCATGATTCCCGCCGCACACAGAGCACGGGCCGGGGTGGGGGGAGGCGCCTGTCTACTCCCCCCACCCCCTGCAGCCCTGATGTTCCTTGAGCGCCCTGGGCATGCTGTCACCTTGGGGAGCTTGTACTTGGTGTCCCCTCCGCCTGCGATGCTCCATCCCCAGGTGTCCTCAGGACTGGTGCCCTCGTCCCCGTCAGGTCTCCGCTCCTGCGTCCTCTTGTCCCCACGGTCCTCCCAGACCAGGCTAGTCAACCTGGAGGTCACACCCAGCACTCTCCCCCTTTCCGGCCGTGTCTTCATCCTTTGCGCTTCTGCCGTTTAGCACACCACGTGCTCGACACGTTGATCTTGTGTATCGTGATCGCCTTTGCTGGCAGGTGAACGCCACCAGATCACGGAGTTTATTCAAAACTGTTCCGTTGAGTTCTGCGTTCCGTTCTTGCACACAGTAGGCGGCTTACTAAGTATTGATGCGTGGTTGGAGGAGTGGATGGATGAAAGCAGGTGGTACGGCAGGTGGGGGAGGCTTCCGTTCTTCGCAGGCTTGGTCAGAGCGATGGCTCAGCTCCCACCTGGCTCGTCTGCTTGGGCCGCCTGGTCTTGGAACCTGGCTGCCATGTTGTATGGGGAAGTCTGAGACACATGAGAGACCGTGTGAAGAGTTCCAGTGACCGGGCCAGCTGGGGTCCCCGCCGAGAGGCTACCCAGCAGCTGGACACGGGGGTCTGCAAGCACTCAGATGATGCTCACCCCCGCATCTTCTGTTCCCCCAGCTGAGGCCACACATGCTGCAGAGCCGAGAAGCTTCCTCGGGGACCCCTGCCCGGATTGCAGATTCACGAGCTCAACAATCTGCTGCTGTTGCTTTGAGCCACTGAGTTATGGGTGGTTTCCTCTGCAGTAGTGGGTAATGGGACTAGACTGAGATAAAATTTTGGGGTCATTAGCATTTAGATCATGCTACGCAGCCTTGGTGCCGTCATGTATTTGGGGCCCGGTCGTATCTTGTGGTGCGGGATTGCCATGTGCATTGTGGAATGTTCATCAGCGTCCCTGGTCTCTATCTGCCAGATGCCAGGAGTTCTGTGTCCCACCCCAACAGCTGCGACCCTCACAGACGTCCCCCCGGCACTACCAGATGTCCGCCTGAGCCAGTGTTGCTTCCAGAGAGAACCGCTGACTTAGATGGTTTTTCTAGATCATGAGGCTAGACTGTCGCAGCTAGGGGCGGAGCTTTGGTAAGAAGGGAGGGGTCAGAAGGCCGGGCTCGGGGACTCCTGCCATCGTGGGGACAGGTGGGAAACACACTGGACTGGTAGTTGGGGCACGTAATGCTGGGCCCCGGCTTCCCCTCTGCAAGGTTAGGCAGTGGACTAAATCCCAGCATGTCCAGTTTGGGGGCGTGTGATGTCAGCACGTGGGAGGCAGCAGGTACGCGATGCCTGTGGGTCAGTCTATGCCTGTGGGTCACCCCAGAGACTGTGCATTAGTTGACCGGGAATAGTATCATGGCGTCAAAGCCTCTTGGAAGCCCCTGGTTGAACGTAGAGCTAAAAGCCAGGTCCTGCTGAGGAAGGGCTGCAAAGACCCCGCAGAAGACACCCAGTGAGTCACACGAAGGGGCCGGGACAATGTCGGCTCTGTCACTGCCTGACAAGCACATGTCAGCAGGGACTCCGGTGAGAAGCCAGGGGAAAGCCGGGCCACTGCACCTTCCAGCCTTTCTTTTCCTCCATTCATGCAGGCGGCTCTCCAGAAATTCATGGGACCACAGAGCAGACAGTGGCCAGCCCTGAAAACAACACTAAAAATAAAATCTGGTGAAGACAAGTCATCAGACGCTTTACAGTCATCAATCGCTTTACAGCAATCCCTTTACAGCAATGGGCAAGACCTCAAATAGCCTTCCAAGAGTAGTTATGAGGGGTGCCTGGGGGGCACGGTCGGTTGAGTGTCCAGCTCCTGGTTTCAGCTCAGGTCATGACCTCAGGGTTTTGAGAACGAGCCCCGTGTCAGGCTCCATGCTGGGTGGGGAGCCTGCTTGGGATTCTCTCCCTTTCTTTCTCTCTCTCTCTGCCCCTCTCACTCTCTCTCTTTCACAAATAAATAAAAATCTTCTTAAAACAAGTAGCTGTGAATGCTAGGAGAGTGGTAAGGAGGAAATCGTTACAGTCAAAGCATCAGTGTTCCCTTCGCGGGCTCAGAGGACAGGCATTCATCCATCCTGGGCCATCCCTACTTGCTGGCCGGGCTCATCATCTGTCCGTGGGACGGTCCCTTGTCAATGCCTTCCTCCAACGGATGCTTTCATTAGTGTCGCTCTCTTCCTGAGCCTCCTTGGCTCTGTTCTCCTTCCTCTGCTTCCACGACCCACCAACCGAGCTCCTGTCTGGCCAGGGCCACTGCCAGGGCCCAAGAGATCAAGAAGTTTTCAGAGTGAGTCCTTTGGAGTCCAAGCTTCTGCAGGCCTGGACACAGACCAGGGTGTGGGCAGGAGCCTGGTCCTGTCTGCGGAGTGTAGCTTCTCCAAGGGACCCCTGGGCACGTTGCTTCTCGTCCCCTTTCCCCAGCTGGCATGCATGTGTACAAATGACTCTCAGAGATGCGGCAAAGAACAGCTAACGAAGGACCTCAGGGCTCATAGCACATGGAGTGTGACAGAAATGCAGGGGAAAACGGTCCAGCAACACATGAACCGGGGGAAAGAACTATGATGGTTCTGCTCACTCGAGGGACCTGGCACGAGTCTGCGTTTAAGCTGGGGGCTGCGGGCCAGCTTCCGTATGCAGGAACTCCAAGCAGAGCCAATCTTCTCTTGGGCATCCATTCACCCCACAAAGACTTACAGAGGAGAGCTCCAAGAATCCAGGGCAGTGCTATGCACTGAACTGTGTCTCCCCAAAACGCACGTGTGCAAGTCCTGAGCCCCAGTGCAACTGTATTTGGAGCTGGGGCCTTTGGGGTAGTAATTAAGGTTAACTGAGGTCATTGGGTAGGGCCCTGATTCCATAGGATTGGGGGCCTTAGGAGCAGAGTTAGGGATCTCTGTGTTCATGTCTCTCTCACATTGCCATATGAGGACATAGTAGGAAGGTGGCTAGCTCGTACCAGGTTTCACATCTGCCGGCACATCGAGCTGTGACACCCAGCCTCTGGAACTGTGAGAGAGCAAATTTCTGTTGTTTCAGCCGCCCAGTCCCTGGCACGTACTACAGCAGCCCAAGGTGACCAATACATACCCAGGAAGACTGTGTGTTTTTGTAATGTCTTAATTCTGAAGCAACGCCAAAAACACATTAAAAAAGACATCCAAGTTCGTGAACTGAATGAGTCTGGGAGAATGTGGAGTCCTCACCCCTGGGGAGGAGTGAATAGGGCACCCCGTCTGTCAGGCCCAGGCAGCTCTGCCCACGGGAGAACACATGATCTCTTAAATTGCCGTCTAGATAAACGATTCCTAATGTTACTTCAGGGTCTCTAATATCCACAAAAAGGAAGTGACCTTGAGCTATAGCATGAGGGGTTGTTATTGGATAGAAGATATTTTCCCTTTCAGTCAGTCAGCCAGCCAAGCGGAGAAGGACAGAGACAGACAGATGGTCAGAACGCGAGCGACCATCAGAGATCAGTCCACCCTCTGAAGTTCATGCTCGACACACTCAGAAGTAAAATGGCGCCTACACACCATCCCGGCCTCTCCTACCACCGCCAGTGGGTGTGGTTCTGCTAAATTCAGAAATCACCTCACAAGGAAATACTGTCAAAGACACAAGATGCTCATCTTTCTGGAATGCTCTAAAGGCAGCCTTGCCTACAGGTGGGTGAAGGGACCACAATGTCTGGATGGGTCCCCTCCACTCCTGGATCATCCTCCCTTCTGGGCGCAAACCCCCTTTATTATCGTTTACACAGACTCACAGTAAAAAAAAAAAAAACAAGCAAAAAAAAAAAAACCACACACACACACACACAAAAAAACTGATTTGTTAAATGGTAGTGAGTTCACTTATGTCCCCATCCTCTCTCCCACTAGATGGAAAGTGACAGACTGTCCCATGAAGAGGGATCACGAGGGGTCACGAGGAGGGGCTGTGCTCCAAGTCTCAGTGTGCTTTGGAGCCCCATCTGGGTGGCCTCGGTGTGGTCGAGGGGCTTGGAGTTGGGCGCGCCGGCTCTGCTTCTCAGTCCCTCTGCACACCCAGGCAGCGCCACAGACATGTCATGTCCCAGGAGGATGGTGGAGAGGTGGCTAGCTGAGCGGCTTCCTTCTAGCAAACGACGGATGCGTCTGACTAGATGGGAACAGGGAGGAAGGGGCCCCCATGGCTCTTCCTGAGGGAGGCATCGCTGGCCCGGGGCAGCCCCGAGACAGGTGCACCGGGGTCCACCTGGACCAGGCAGGGACTCGCTCTCCCGGGCACTTCCGTTCCTTTCATTCCCAGGGACCAGGAAGGTCTTAAGGGGATTCACGCAACCCTTGAAGTCTTGATGGAAGGAAGGTCAGCATCCCCGCCTGGTTCATCCCCTTCTTTGGGCCTTGGTTTCCTCATCTGCTTCCTGGGCTCATACTGATTTACAAAGATTTTACCCAGGCGGGTTGGATAACAAGAGTTGTACTCTCTAAAGAAAAGAAAGCCTGTTTATTCTCTAGCTAATCAGCACCATCTTTGCTTCAGATGAGAGAGAAAGCACCTTCTCTCATCCTTTTCCTTCATCAATTCAAGCTGCCTTTTATGATGGCACTTCTTGGGTCCCTGTAACAAGCTGGGGGTTTCGCACTTCCTCTTCCTGGGGCACTTGTGTTAAAAACAACAGCACCTGAGGCCAAGGCAAACCCTGAGAGCAGCAAGATTTGGGTCTGGAGTTGGTCCCCCGAGTTCCAATCCCAGATGGGCCACTTACTAACCACAAAATCTTAAGCATGCAACTTAAGCCCTCTGAGTCTGTTTCCTCATCTGAAGGTAGGAATGAGCCTTCCGTCCTCCCACGGGATTGCAGAGATGAGAGACAGTAAGTGTATAGCTAACACTACCCTGCTGGGCACTCAGTCAGCACCTAATAAATGCACTGATGATAGTAACACGCCTATTCCAAGTGTACATTTGTATGACTCTGATTGGCTATTAGGTATCACAGCCCTGAAAGGGGGTGATTCTTTAAAGCCGAAGGGTCTTGGGGGCACCTCGAGTCACACCTATGGTAAGAACTGGCTGGCGATGCAGTAAGGGCTCAGGAAGGAAGGAAGCCGACGGAGAGTCACAAGGTGGGTTTGGTTGCTGGGAGATATCAGGTAAGGCCCTGAATTGCCCCCTCAAACCCTTTTGTAAATCGGGGGTTGAACCACATGGTCTCAAAGCGCAGAGGCCAATGGCTGTGCAGTTCTCTGTTCAAGTACAGATTCTGATGTGGTCAGTCTAGGGGGCTGGGACCCTGCATTTCTCAGGCTCTCTGGTGGTCTCCAAACCAGGCTGAGTAGCAAGACGTTAACACTCTTTCCAGCTTGGAAGTTCTACTCTCTTTTTAAGATTTTGTTTATTTATTTGACAGAGAACACAAGTAGGCAGAGAGGCAGGCAGAGAGAGGGGGGGAAGCAGGCTCCCTGCTGAGCAGATAGCCTGATGCGGGGCTCAATCCCAGGACCCTGAGATCATGACCTGTGTGGAAGGCAGAGGCTTAACCCACTGAGCCCCCAGGCGCCCAGTTCTACTCTGTTCTAATGGGATTTGAGGAAATCCGATTCCACAGATACCCCAGGCAACTAGATGGAAGCCAGCGTTCCCACCACAGAGAAGTGATGGGCTGGGGAGTTGGGGTTCGGATTTTCCCATGCTCTCCTGGGATACCAGCTGCTTGAGGGCCCGCTCTGGCTGGGGAAGAGAGCAGCTGCACCAAGGCAGTGTTTAGAAGGTGCAGTGAAGATGCATTATTTAACTCATGCCAGAGGAGAGATACAGTTTACAAATGTGGAAAATTATTCACGCCCGGGCTCAGTCTGGCTTGAACACAAGGGCTGCACTCCATCTCTGCCGGGAAACCGCCGCCCTCCATCTCCAGCACAGCTGAGCCATTTCCCACGGTGACCAGCAGAGGGCACTGGTGGACCCACACCCATGGCTCTAGCTGGGGCAGAAAGGATAGAGCTCTCAGGGCAGGCAAGTTTGCAAAAGCACTTGCTTGCTTCCCTGTGGCTACGCGCAGTGGAAACGTGTGCCCCCCACCCACCGAAGCCCACGGGCCTGTGTATGGATGTGTTCATAGGGGTGCAATCAAGCAATGACCGCAGGGAGGGGTGTTTCCGGTTAGGTTTAGATTTTTATGAATTCCTACTTGCCTCCTCCAGGGGGCAGCACAGGTGATACCTGAAGATCAGCAACCTGGCAAAGGCCCTAGGTTCTGACAGACTTCTTCCCACTGAGTTCCCTTTATCAGTATTGTGATTTCAGATCATGAGTGTTGACCCCAAACTGTGTATCCCCTTCACGCCTCTGGGGAGTAATGAACCCAACAGGCAAAGACATCTGCAGATAGCTCTGAACCACTTTCAGACTGCTAACTGGGAAGAACCCCGGGGGTCAGATCACAAGGAGCACAGATCAAGGAGCTGAGTGGGGACGATACTGGAGACTCTGCCCTCGTCTTCTCAGCAGGCCTGGCCCTTGCCAAAACTACCCAGGGGAAGTCAGAGCTACTTTTGTTCTTGCAATGTCCTGCCCCTTCATCTGTCATGCCAAGTAGTTAGGCAGTGTGGTTCTGAGCACCGGGCTTCCTGGAAACTTAAGGCCTATGTGTGTCACATGTGAGTTTTTTTCTCTTCTCAAAAACTCTTTTAAAATTTGACAAATGTGATAACAATGTTTGCATTTCTAGGACTCCATTGTAAGCCTCGATGGGAAAAGTTTGTGTTAAGAAAGAATGGATTCTTATCCTAACGGCAGGGCTGATACAAAGGTTTGGGTGCCTCACTATGGACCCTTCCAGAACATCAGGTGTTAAGGAAGATGAACACCTGCTGATGGGGTCACCCGTCCACCTGCTGATGATGCGACAGGCCTCGTGACTTGATTTGCACAATTGTACGGCAGTTTGTCCGTGAGCTCCGACAATCTACTTGAGATGCACTTTGATTTCATGTACTTGGCACAGAGGAGAGACTTAAGAAGTATTTGCTGAATTACCGTACATGCATTTAAAGTGAACTTGTCTCCTGACAGGATGAAACCCGCTTAGTCTGCAAACCTTTTGGCAAGCTGTTACGTCTGACAGCTCACCTCTGCCCACTTTCAGCCACTGTTCCTGAGGGTGTGTGCTCTCACACTCTGCCTTCAGACCTTTCTCACAAATACACATTTCTGTGAAAACTAATGAGGCACCATTAGGGGAAGGAACGCATCCCTAAACTTCTTGTTCCCGCCGCTTGATTTCCCTGGGGTCTCATCTCTTTGGTGCCTCAGGCATGTGGGCAACTGCTAATTTTCGTAGTTGACGTTAAAATGGATAATATATTCTAGAAAGCGGTTTAGGTTCCCTACATTCTGCAACTTTGCCAACCTCTCCCTTTCTGGAAACACATTTCTAGTTGAGAATGAGGATGTATTTTTTTCTAGAACAGGAAAACCCCTGGTTTACACTTAAGAGCTCCTTAGTAAATCTTATTTTATGATGGGATAGGAAGAACGAGTTTCATGAAGAACGTGGACGTCACCGTGGTCAGCAACGACCGACCACCTCATGTAATGTGGCTCCTTCCAGGGCAGATCCAGTATGCCAAGCACGGGCTCGTCTTGCTCCTCAAACACAACCATTGCGAACCTGACACACTCAGGGAATCAGCTCTTTTCAGTCCTTTCTGGAACAAGACAGATCGCTGGCAAGCAGTAAGCCGGGGACACTAGCATCCTAGCCTCCTGATACTGGCCTAGGTCCCCCCAGGTGGTCCAACAAAACGGAGTTTCAACGGCAGGGCCAGTAAGAGGACAAGAATGTGTGCAAACAAAGCAGGACCCTAACTAGTCGTCCTGAGGGGCCCGCGAGGGTGACACGCGATGAGAAGCTCAGAGGAACAGGTGCCAGCCATCCCCGCCCCCACACTTGGCTTCAGAAGGGACACTGCAGCGCAGCCCGTCAAACACTCTGGGCGGAACGTCCTGATCCAGTCCTTGTAACCAGTGAGTTCTGGAACCGACCACCCCGTGCCCTGGGGGATCGCATGGGGAGGGCCCACAGGGTGTTCAGTTACCTTCCTCGGCACCGCTCTCCCCAGGGCCACCCCAGGGGTGGAGCAGAAAAGCCCGATGTTCACCCCGGGGGTGGCGAAAGAGGACCTGTCGCTCGCCACAGCAATGTCACAGCTGGCAACGAGCTGGCAGCCGGCCGCAGTGGCCAAGCCGTTCACCATGGCAATGACGGGGACCGGGAGCTTCTGGATCAGCAGCATGACCTAAAAGGGCAAACACACGACTTCGTTTTCTGCCAAAAGCAAAATGCAACACGCACACGGACGATTTTCTGTGACTTCACCCTTCCCAGAGCATGTCCCCTATGCGTTCGATCAGAGTCTCGGAAAAAAAGGGTGAAAGAAAGCTTGAAGAGAACTAACCTGGCATCAAATACCAACTGTTTGGTCTTCCTGAGACCCAGGGGAGGAGGGGACAGTAGGTGACAACCAGGGCCGGAAAGCTCAGCGGGGAAGGAACTCGCCCAGGCGGGGAGATTTGAAATAGCGTCTGGCTGATGACACAGCCCTGGTCCTTCTACACCTGGCAGGACCCTCTGTGAGGTCACGGTCCCCTCTGACCACGTCCCCAGCAGCCCCCCATGAAGCACAGAGCTGATTCTGATCTCTGGGGAACCGCGCCCGCTGCAAGTCTGAAACTGGTATTTGCTACCTCCTTGAAAAATGAAGCTGGAAGACAAATTACTTCTCAAATTACTGCCCTGAATGTCCTCTCAATTCCTTTATAACAGTGGGAAGGAACCCTGTCATGATCAAAATAAACAAAATTCCCTAAACGGGGCTTCTGGCACACAGAGGAGCCAAAAACTGGCTCGTGCGACCCCTCCCCCACTCCATAAATTTCTGGAACTTATTTTTGCAGCTTACCAAATACCGTGGTTGATTTCTCCATTTTTTTTTTTTTTTTTTATGTCACACAAAACAGACTGTGTCACTATGGTAACTTGGACGTATACACAGTTGCACTTTGAACCCTGGCAGGGAAGGAGGGCAAGTGGGAAGGAGCTACTACATCTGGGTTTGCTTCCTCGGCGGCCACTCTGAAAAAATGACTTTCCTTGGTTTGAAGGTTTTGCCCAAGGAACTCCGCCTTCTGCATTCACAAACATGGTCTATTCGGCAGCTGTACTATAAAATGATAATATATTTAGGGATATGACATCATGTTCTATAATAGTGGTTTGGACTTTTTTAGGGGGTCACCTTGTGAGAACCTGATAAACGCTATTGACTTTCTCCTCAGAAAAATGCACGTGTGCATATCCACACCCCAAACGGCTCCGGATGTAGGGGCTCTGAGAACTCTAGGCGAGGACGAGTGTGGTCAGTGACTGAGCTCATTCTCAGAGAACTGCAGCAGCAGGGGGAGAACTCTTGCCCAAGAACTTGTAGCGTCTTGCAGCAAAGAAAGATTCTTTTTGGCTCTGAGTGTCGTCTGTCGCCTAATGAGCTGGTTACTTATGAAAAGTCACTTGGCCGCGATTAGCGTTGAACGGTCTGTGTCTCCCGTGTGCCTGCTATGGAGCACTAGGAGTCTATACCACCTGCTGGGAAAGTACTGAGAGTAGATCCCAACAATATTAAAAATATTTATACTTTTCATCTAGGGAACATTTCTAAGGAATAATCCTAAAATAGGGTAAAAAGGTGTCTAGGCAGAGATGTTAAATTATTTTATTAAAAAATTATTTTATAGTGGTGATAAACTAATAAGTAATGAATATATATAAATAAATAAGGGGCACCTGGGCGGCTCAGTCAGTTAAGCGTCTGCCTTCAGCTCAGGTGATGATCCCAGGGTCCTGAGATGGAGCCCCACACCAGGCTCTCTGCTCAGGGGGAACCAGCTTCTCCCTCTCCCCCTTGCTTGTGTTCTCTTTCTCTCCCTCTCTCTCTCTCTCCCTCTCAAATAAAATTTTAAAAAAATAATAAGTAAATAAGTATAGTGACTATGTAAACTAATTGTCCACTTAATGGAACGCCGTGTTCTCATTTTGAGATTTTCCACCAGACATAGCAGCATGGTCTGACCTTGCATAGTGGGCTGGAGCCAGGCTCCTGGGGTCTGATGCCCAGTCTGCCACTTACCCACTGGCTATCCCCCAGTCTTCACATCTGGGTATAATAATGGGCACAAGAATAGAACCAATCTTCTAGAACATGAGAATTCTATATATGTCTAAAGTATTCAAAACATTACATGGCACATGGTTAAGCATTCAGTGCTATAATCACATTATACAGTTATACAGCATAATTGCCCCTATGTATGATTATTCAGACAAATAGGTTCATGTGGGAAAAGATTTGAAAGAAATCTACTAAATATTAGCATTCTCTCTGGGTGGTATGATCATGGTCTAGTATCAGCAGTTTGTTTTCCTGCCTTTTTCTGGATTTTCAAATTTTTCCATGTTTATTATTTGTATAATTAAAACATATTTTAAGTAACTTTTTTTAACAAGGCTCCATGCCCAACATGGGGCTGAACCCATGACCCTGAGATTGAGTCACATGCTCTACTGACTGAGCCAGCCAGGTACCCCAAAAATGTCTTTTATTTCTTAAATTTTTCTATTTTTTCAAGATTATTTGAGAGAGAGTGTGCATGCACACATGTGCACACGCATGGTGGGGCGGGGGAGAGAGAGATTCTCCAGCAGACTCCCTGCTGAGCGAGGAGCCCCACATGGGGCTTGATCCCACATCCCTGAGATCACAACCGCAGCAGAAATCAAGAATCAGACCCCTAACTGACTGAGCCACCCGCGTGCCCCCAAAACATACTTCAAATAAAGTTAGCAACACAGAAAAGACAAAGACAAGTTAGATAACAAATCAGCTGAGGCAGCCAATCCCTTGGTAGTCAAGAAATGATTTTCCCTCCTAGTTTACCTTCCTGAACTAAGTATTTTTCCTGGGTTCTCTGCCTTCTCCAAATGCGGCATCAGTGTAACTACAGCTTAGCCTCACTCAGTAGCATGACTGCGGGCTCTGCGAGCAGCCTTGTCCCATTGCCGTTTCAGCGGTGAGGCCGAGGAGAAAGAGAAGACTCTCTTCCTGGACTAAGGTTTCCACCTCAGACTTCAACAGGACAAAAGAAGGGACACACGCAGTGGGTCTCCAGGGAAATGTGTCGGGCCAGCTCCACAAAGGGTTACTTTTGGTCTCCCATAGTCACGATTTTTTCTCCTTCTCCATTTACCCTATTCCTAGTTTGTAAATAATTAACAATTAGGTGGCACTTGGTGTCTGCAAGGAATCTGCTATAGTTTAGATTCTGAGCCAAGTCAGGAATCTCCGTCTTCCTCTCTAAACCCGCATTTTCTCGTGTGTGAACAGAACAGTGAAATCTCTAGCTCATTCTGTCCCAATCTGTCCGTTGATCACATTTGGAAACGGAAATCTTCCAAGTTCATGGTGCTCCTATTTGTCCAAGACATTGTGATTTTCTTAGAAGTATTCAAGAAACCAGGGCACTTCCGCTCCGATCTCCGTGTTAGGACAAGGTCCCGTTTATGCACTCTGTCTTTTTCAGTGAGCCCGAGACATCCAGGGGTTGCCAGCGTCCATGAAATCTGGCCTTTCTCCTCTGAAGCAGCGCCGGGCTCCCCTGTGGCCGTCTGGCTAACCCGTTGGGATCTCAGTTCGTGAAGACACCACAGCAGAGTGATAAAAGCAGGCCCTTGAGGGAGGAGGGAAGGGCTCTAGTGGTTCTCTTTCATGCTTTTCTGTTTTAGCCAAACACAGTGGATATTGTAGAGAAATCACTTCTAAAGCGCCGTGCCTTGCCAAACACCAGAGCAGAACGTTATATAAACATCACTGGTGTGGAACAAAACACCGAAGCCTTAGCTCCGGGTTGCCTCTGCGTCTCCGTGAAGCCCAAGTCAACTGCTTTCCTGGCTTGTCGACATGAGAAAAGTCTTAACGGGCTCTCCGTACGGCATTCTGGAAAGGCAAGGGAAACAAATGGTGGCCGAGAAGCCATCTCAGTCACCTTCCTGCCAGCCTCCCTGGTGCGCGCCTCTGTCTTGTCTGTAGAGAAGGTATCAGGAAACACTTGTTGAATCGTTAACGACCAAATACGTGAGCAAGTCCATGAATGAATGAAAAATTCGGTGAAGTAATTTTAGGGCCAGGTTATGAAACTGCTTTTGGTCTTTTTTTTTTTTTAAGATTGGTTTATTTAAGAGAGTTTTTAAAGATTTATTTATTTGTAAAATAAATAGAGCATGCGGGGGGCAGAGGGCAAGGGAGAGAGAATCTCAAGTAGGCTCCACGCTCATCGTGGAGCCCGACATGGGGCTCGAGCTCACAACCTGATAACAGGACCGGAGCCGAAACCCAGAGTCGGTTGCTTAGTGGACTGCGGCACCCAGGCTCCCCTGACGCTGTGTTCTGTCTTGCTTCTCACCTACATTTCCAGTTTCAGTTTGGCAGGAGGTTTGTTTTTCCTTCTTTTTCCCTCAGTGCCTGGCAAGTACTGTGCATACAGTGGTGCTCAATAACGAGTTATGAAACAAGCAAAGCATGACCTGGGGTGGACTCGGTGTGATTATAACCATTGCAAGCCTTTTGTTCCTCTTCCTCCTCTCTGCTGGCAGTTTCTCTCCTTCGTATGGTTAAAGACACAGACCATGAGAAGTAAACATGAAGAGGTTCATTTTCCACTTGGAGGCGGTGATTACAAAGGTTGGTCGGAAGAAGGGTTTGAAAAATAATCTTTAAAATCATTATGGTTATTCCATTCACAAATATTCTCTCTCTGCCATTAACAGAGTTGTTTTAGTTTAAAATTTTAAAAAATTACACTGATCTTGGGCCCTTCCCCTCTACAGATGTTCACACCCACCCTCTGCCTCTGACTTGAGACACGTCTACCAAGACACACCCCCACGGTCCCGGACGCGGCCACTGTCAGCACCAGCCTGTATCGACCTTTCTCCGGCAGGTAACAAGATCACTTGCCAACAGTGCCCACTTGAAAATCGAAACCAAATAGTGGCCTGGTTAAAGGATGGGCCAATGACCAGTCTGCAGGGACTCGGTCTCAGAGATAAAGCCTTGTGTGTCCACCGGAAGCATCATTCAGTATTTCACGTGGCTCTCATTTTTGAGCTGTGATGTCACCCCTCAGCCCAGCTTACCTCAGAACAGGTCTGAAACACTTCAGTGTGATAATCTGGGCTTCGCTCATCCGTCAGTTCCTTTAAATCATGCCCAGAAGAAAAAACGGGCCCCTCAGCTGCACGTTTCCAGTAAAGAAAAGAAAAGAAAGAGAAGTAAGCAGCCAGAGCTTGAACGTTCCCTTATGTACCTCCCAGGTAATGTAACAGCAATCGCGCTGATGCCGTGGACACTTTGAGTTGCTGGCTCAGTTCTGATAGAATAATTCCATTTTGCTTGCAAAGTGACAGCCAGGGTTTTGTGGTGACAAAGTAAGGGGAGGCATGGGTTCTCGAAGGTCTGTGGTGGAACCAGTGAAAACATGCCATACCAACAAGAAGGCTCAGTAACCATGGCAAATGTCCTCCTTCCAGAATTATCTGCTGGTTTCACACTTCTGTGTCTGGACTTGGTCCGGCCTGACTGTATAGACTCACTTGGGCCCATCAAATCCACCCCGCCTCCCGCAGTGTCCCTGTCCTTCCGTCCACAGATCGCGGCCACCCACACAGGTTGGGATCAGGAAGGTCGGACTGTGAGGAAGGATTGGACGATGTGGTTTTACTGATACTATTGCTATTAACAACAATGACAAAATGGACACAACCCATCAGCTGGTAGCACTTTCTCCTACTTCCCTTTGGCTGCGGCTGCTGGGACAGACGATGTTACTCCTGGCACGCCAATGAGAAAATTGTGTGGCTGTGAGTTAGCACCCGGCTTACTGCACCCGGCTTACAACCACCATGGCTCCTGGACAATATTTGTTCTATTTCTTCCCCCCTCGCCATATAAAAAGTTGAAAATTTGGGGGCGCCTTGGTGGCTCAGTTGGTTAAGCGCCTGACTCTTGATTTCAGCTCAGGTCATGATCTCGGGGTCACGAGATCGAGTCCTGTGTCAGGCTCTGTGATGAGCGTGACGTCTGCTTGAGATTCTCTTTCTCTGCCCCTCCCCTCGCTTATGTGGGAACACGCCCTATCTCATAAGTAAATAAATATATAAATAAATAAAATTTAAAAGATTTTTTAAAAAGATGAAAATTTACATTCAATCACAGAGAAGAAAGTAACATTCTACGTATCTGCCTCCAGAAACACAGATTTTTTAACTTTTTTTAAAAAAATAGTGCATCATAGGGCAGCATCTGTTTTCTGTGGTTGCTTTACAATGCAGGCAGGCTGTTATTTATGCCGCTGTCATCATCACCAGACGACTTGGTAAAAGTTCTTACTGGAAATAGAGAAGGAAAGAAATGAGCAAAATAGATCATGCTTCCTGGGACCCTTGAAGAAGACCACAGATCTCGGCTGAAAGCTTAGGAAGAATGGGAAAGACCAGTCAATTGCCCAGCAACCTGTCCTGACCAGCTAGGTAGTCTGCCGAAAGCTTTAGTGATTAAACCCATCTGATCAGATCCATGAAGACATCAGTTCTCGGACTTTGATGGGGAGACCAGCACAGCCAGGGCTGGCAATGTTTCCTACCTGACACGTCCGACAAAATGGAAAAAGACATACTCTCACTGCACAGTAATCTTCCCTATAATTTCCACCGCTAATTACACAGGGGTTTTTGTTCATAATGTTCTTGTAAAGGAGCTTCAGAAACAATTCTCCCATGAGGGGAAGGAATGCCTCAGTTGACCAAAGAATTTTGAGAAGGTCAGTACCTGAAATGATGATGACTCTTAGGTCTTTGCTCTCGGCTTCGTGAAGAAGGTCACTCTGCAGAGATTTCAGCATGGCTAATGACAGCGCGTTCCTCTTCTTCGGATCACTCAAGACAATGTTCCTGGGAAGAACGTTTTATAATCACTGTATAAGTACACGTGTCAAAACAAATGAGGACCCTGATTCCTTTCTTACCCTGGGGGCTCTTTATAAAACACAAGAAAGGGAACCCTTGGTGCTTAGAGGCTACTGAGAGGGTCTGCCAACTATCGAGAGATATGGCTAAGGCAAAACAAGGAGACTACCCAAAATGTGGGCTGGGCTTCCCACCCCCTTTCCCTGGATTTCTCTTTTTCTCCAGGTTTGCGGTCAGAAACATGACGGCCTCCTCCCCCCAAAGGGTAGGTTACAGCAGTTCCAGAAACCATCACTGTTCCTTCCGAGAGGCAGTGAGGCCTCTGAGACCCAAGGAAGCTGCCACGTGTAGCTACCTTCCACTTCTCTCTCTCTGCTGTTCTTCAAGAGAGTAAGGTCAGGGAAGGAGCCGAGAATGGAAACACACCCCCAGATCTCCTCCCGTGCACCCCATCAAGGGGGCAGTGCGGTTACAGCAGCCAACACATCTTGATGACCCCATCTTTCCATGTTTTTCGAGCAGCATCCTGCAATTCTGCAGAATAATTCGCACTGAGAACAGGGGATGTGTGAGGAGCAGAAGGAAGGAGTGGACAGCAAGGGGGCTCTTTCGGGACATGTCCTCCGACTAGGAGCTGGCATGCCAAGGTCTCGCTATATTGTCGTCCGGCTGCCTGTACACAGGAATGTCTTCTTTGTGCGTTTACATGGAATGGGGGGGAACCAGACCCCAGGCTGTTGTTCTGTACGTTGCATCTGTTTCCCCTCTGTCCCCACCTCCATGATTACTGCCGTTCTCACTCTTTCTCTGGATCTGATAACTCCTGCTGTGTGTCAGCCTGGATCCTCCTAAACTCGCCCTCTGGGCCACCGGCTTCTGGAAAACCACTCCAGTGAGTGACTTTATTCCAGCGCTATACGAATACCCACTTCTTCGGGACACCGTTCTGGCTTTGCTGCCACCTTCAGATGGCTGTGACAGTCACGTTTCCTCCTGGGTGCTGAGAATGACTAGCAGCTGATAGGCAGATATGCAATGAAACCCGCATTCTGGGGTGTCGTAAAAGAAGTGTCCACGAACCTTCCAGTAAGATAATGAATGTGCTTTCTGTAGCAAATCTCAGAGCTGCCATCCCGTCAGCGACATATGCTTAAATTAAATTCTAAGGCCTCGGGCAAAATCGTGCAGAAAGATGCCAGCGCCCAGATCCCCTTGCTGCGCAGCAGTGTCTGGTCATATGTGGCCCATTAATCCCATGGCTTGTGCATTGCACACCCTGTCAGAGTGCTCTGAATTGCTGAGTTCACTTCTCAACCCAGACCAGCCAGGCTTCTGTTCCTGCTACTCCACTCAATCTGTCCTCGCCCAGCATCTCCTCCTTGTCAGAACAAGTCTGGTGGCCATTGGGATCATGCTCTCCTTCTGTCTCCTGTCTTTTGGTGCTTCTCTAGCCTGTCCTCCTCTCCTTCTTCAGGGTGCTCCTTGCCTTCTGCTCACCCCTACGTGATCCTCAGAGCCGCCCCCCCCCGCCACTTTTTGTTCCATGCTCTTCCAAGGCAACCTGACCATGGACTTGGCTTCAGCTGGTACCGCTATGCTGATGACTTCCAACCTTTGCCCTCACCCAGACCTCCGTCCTGAGCTCCAGGTCTACTCTACAAGTTCATTCCCACGTCCTCTGGACCATCCTGGGGCATCGTCCCCAACTCCCTTCATCTTAACGCTACCACTCAGTTGCTCAAGCCAGAAACTGAAAGCCTTCTTAGACTGCTATTTCTTCCCTCTTGAACTGGCCGTCAAAGCTGATAATACCTGCTAAGAATCTTAGCAGTCTGAATTCTCCCAGTGACTATCTTGGGTCGAAACGTGTGACGCCTTGCACCTACAGCTTCACCAACACGACCACCGGAAGAGGGAATCACTAAGAGGGAGGTTACTGCCAGAGCACGTGACAAAAAGTAGTATTTCTGTTTGCAGGGCAAGAGATGGGCCCTGGGGAGGCCCTGATGAGCTATCTGGAGCCCATCACATCATTGTTAAACCCCCAGAAAGTTCATGAGGCGAGGCACCTGTCATGTTCACACAGACACTCAACAGATACCTGCTGAGCGAATTAATGACCCCAAATAGCATTTTGATTTTTCACAGCCAATTTCACTAACTCCTGGAAATTTTCATCTCACCTAGGTAGGTTTGTTAGTTTGTTTGTTTGCCACCCCTTTTAAACCTCAGTGGCAAGGACACTGAGCTAGAGAGCAGAGCGGAAACAACTTCGGAGGCAGACAGACCTTTTCCTGCCTCCTGGCTTTCTTTCCTCCCAGCTGTGTGGCCTTGAGCCAGTGGCCACCTCTCTGAACTCGGTTCCTCACTGTAGGATGGGGACAACCTAACCTACCTCGCAGGCTCTAGAGGGATTAGGGGTAGCAACTGTACTGTGCCTAGCACAGTACTCCAATTCCTGCTCCATGACGATCACTGCTGAGAGGAACAGCTCTGAAAAGGGATGCTTGAGGTGTGACTGAGTTGTTCAAACTCACCAGCTTCATGCCTAACATACCACTGCTTCTGTGGTGCGTTTGGAGGTTCCCACTTATTGATTCCGAGCATTTATGTCAGATTGATTCTTCCCATCGTCTCCCTTTCTGACTCATGTTTAGCTCCGGAGAACTCACCCAGACCTTCAGTCCACTGGCTCCATGCCAGATGTCAGGGTTCTGAACCAGATTTGCAGAAGCAGGGGCACCCTTGACAATGAGCAAGGAGCCCTGCCCGGGCCCGGTACTTCTGGGTACCCCAGCTCCAGCTGTGCCCTGCCAGATGAGCCAGGAGTCCACCTGAATAGAATGATATGCCCACCTGGAAGTCACCACCCCCTTCCAGACCCTGCTGTGGTTACCTGAGACTCTGGAATTCTCTGGCTTTGCAGAGGGGCATCCTTAAGCCCCTGGGGTGGCCACGTACAATTATTTCTAGGAGGGGAGGTGAGAGAGAGAGAATGTGGGCACACTGGATGGGGTGTCTGCAGACCCGTGTGCCAAGCTCCTGGCAGAGCAGCAGGAAGGAGGGGTGGAGAAGTGAGAGGGGGTGAACATAGGGTGGGACGAAAAGAAAGTTGCAGGCCAGCAAGCAGCTGGCTCGCCACTGCTTTGGGGAAACTCCTAGGAGCCTCAGGATTATAAATTCGAGCATGGTCTTCCAGGTCTATGAAGACACACTTCTCAGGGTAGAAGAAGAAAACGTATTTAGCTGTTAGTTTGATTTGTGACTTCTAAATACTTAGCACGCTGGGTAGGCCTCTCTTTGCACCCTTGCCCTGGTGGGGCAAACAATAGGGTGAGGCCTGGATGGGGCTAGCGGTCCTTCAACCTTTGCTACTCCAATTCCAGTTTGTGCACCGGTTTTCTTGTTTCATTTTGTTTTGTTTTGTTTTTTAAGGGTTTTAGGCTTGTTGAGCCACAGGGCAGAGCTTAGTACAGTGTGCCCTTCGTCCTTCATATTGACCTGCCCCCACTGGGATACTCCTGGGACAGGGCCAAGGAGCAGCTCGGCTTTGCCTAACCTGGCGCTGGAACCAGGTCAAGGTTGTGAGAAGCACAGAACCTCTTTTTCAAGGCCACAGCAGCGGTCTGGCCACCTGCTGAGCTGCCCACACGGAGCCTAAAACCCACTGAAGACTCGGATCCGTTGCCCCGGGGGTTTAGGGGCAGTGCTGGGGCCTTCCGAGTTTGTCCCATTTGAAATTTTCTGGTGTGTCCTGCAGGATCCGAAATGCTACAGTGCCCAGGCAAGTGACTTGAGGAAACCCCGTGTCCGCGGCTGGGTTCCTTTGGCCGAGACGGACAAACTGGTGTCCCCAGCGGATATAGCTGGCCCCTGGCCGAGTCCCCGGTGGCCTCCGCGTGCGGTGACTGCCCATCTCTGCCCGGGTCCCTGCCGCCCACCCCCACCCGGGAGCTGCCCCGCTAGGCCCCTGGGCTGGTCCGGAAGGGCCCGGCGCCCGCGCGGCCCCGCCGCTGACCTGATGCCGTCCTGCTGCCGCGCGCGGGTGGGTCGCGGCGGGAGCTCTGGCCGCTGGGCCCCGGCCGGACCCCTGCAGCAGAAGCTGGCGGAGAGCTGGGCCCACGGGCTTCGCCCGAGCCAGGCGGGCCCCTTTGCTCCGAAGGCCCGGAAGCCGGCGGCGGCCATGGCAGCCAGAGACGTGCCCCAGAGGGCCGGACGCCCCGAGGGTCGCGGGTGCGAGCCGGGCCCCTGCGCCTCAACAGCTGAGGGTCGCAGCAACACCCGCAAAAAGCTAGAACTCCCACGCCAGGTCTAGGTCTGTCTCCTCCGGTAGGCCAGACCCTCCCCCTTCCCCGCCCCTTATGCCCCGCCCCTTCCGTCGCCCGGCCCTGCCCCTTCAGATGCCCGGCCCCGCCTCCCTGCGTTGCGCCACCACCTCCGCCGACCCCCCCGCCCCCGGCTCCCCTCCACGCCCTCAGGCCCCGCCGCGAATACCGCCCACTGCGCCGTCAGGCCTCTTGCTCACCGCCCGCCCTGCTGGCTCCGCCCCGCCAGGCCCCGCCCCCTCCGCCCCGCCCCGCCCCCGTGGGGCTGAGGGGTGGAGTCTGGGGTGGTGCGCAGACACCAAACCTGCAGGCCAAGTGTTTGCCGTAAAGAGTTCAGGGGAGGCGGGGAGCGGGCTTCTTTCTGCATCGACGCCGAGAATGTGGTTTGCCTGGATTAGGAAAATGAGGGTTAGCAGGTGGCGACTGGTATGAGCTGTGGTGGCCACGTTGTTACTTCCGCCCGGCCCCCGCAAACCCGCTCAGGCGTCGCAGGTGATCACAGGTCCCAAAGGGAGGTGCATTCCATACAGGCGTTGACTTTTGAAGGACTTCATGTCGTCTCCTCGGAAACCCTGCATCTGTCTCTTGGGTGTTTCAAATGCACCCGGGAGGGAAAGAGAGATCCTTCTTAGGATCTAATCGGCTGGCCCTACAGGAGACAGAGAATTTCCTGTCGCTGAAAGCTTAAGTATAATAAGAATATTCTCATTGTCATGTGTTAGCTAAACTCTCAAAGTTTGGAGGTTTTAAAAAATTTTCTTAAATATTTTATTTTTATTGACTACATGCTCATTTTCAGTAGTAGATACCCTCGGCAGGAGTTGCTCTGGTCTCAGGACACAAACTTGTATCTCCCACTGCTGTCCTGTTTCAAGTATTTTAGTCAACAAAAGCATCTTTTTGAAATATGTCTGATGGGGGGGGCGCCTGGGTGGCTCAGTGGGTTAAGCCTCTGCCTTCGGCTCAGGTCATGATCTCAGGGTCCAGGAATCGAGTCCCTCATGGGGCTCTCTGCTTAGCGGAGAGCCTGCTTCCTCCTCTCTCTCTGCCTGCCTCTCTGCCTACTTGTGATCTCTGTCTGTCAAATAAATAGATAAAATCTTTTTTTTTTTTTAGATTTTTTTTTTTTTTTTTTGACAGAGAGAGATCACAAGCAGGCAGAGAGGCAGGCAGAGAGAGAGGAGGAAGCAGGCTCCCTGCTGAGCAGAGAGCCCAATGTGGGGCTCGATCCCAGGACCCTGAGATCACGATCTGAGCCGAAGGCAGCGGCTTAACCCACTGAGCCACCCAGGCACCCCCAATAGATAAAATCTTAAAAAGAGAGAGAGAGAAAGAAATATGCCTGATCAGGACGCCTGGGTGGCTCTGTCAGTTGAGGGTCGGCCTTCAACTCGGGTCATGATCTGGTGATCCTGGGACTGAGTCCCCTATCCAGCTCCCGGCTCAGTGGGGAGCCTACTTCTCCCTCTGCTTGTGCGCTCTCTCTCTCTGACAAATAAATTAATTAAATCTTTATTTTAAAAAAGCAACAAAAGAAATGAAATCTATCTGATCACGCCACTTCTCTGCTTCCCACTGTGACATGTGGCCCCCACTCACACGACAGCCTGTCTTGTGCTATTGTCCATGCTCCGGGTGCACAACGGATCCAAGTCTGGAGATTGGCAGGACACATGGAAGAAAGGGTCTCAGCCCTCAAGGGGCTTACAGTCTCTAGGAGAGACACTGTGCCCAGGACCCTCCGCACCCTGTACACTGAGAAGTTTTGCAAGGATCACAATTATACAAAGACATAGGCAAATGGTTTTGTTGGGGGTGCATGTTGGCTTCAAATAGTCACACACTTGGGTTAATTCTCAGCCTCATCATTGGACAGAACACTTACGTACAGAAGAGTATTCTGAAATATCCACTGAGACCTCCTGTACCAGGGAGGAAACTGCTCCGTTTCCCTGACCCTTGGTCCCTGCTCCATGAACGGAGCTGGGGTATTCCTTTCATTGTCTCGAAGGAACAGGGGGTCTGGCAGAACTCAGAGACAAACACGGGGCAAATTTTGGCTTGCAGATTGTGAGCACTTGGGTGTTGGAAGGAACACCAAACAGACATAATAGATTTGGGAAGGTGGTACTCATGAGTTAGAATGAGGTCTCCAGCCTGAGGCCAGATTTAAGTTCTCTGGGTGTGGGGGCAAAGATAGGGCAGTGGGGCTGGTGGGAAAAGCCAGAAGAGGCAACTGTTATAGGATTTGGGGAAAGCGTTGGGTCTAAGGCTCCTGGAGAAGAAGTGGGAATGGCAAGAAGCCCTAGCTGGGGCAGAGGCAGGCTTGCTCTGTTTCCTTGATAGAACCCCGGGGAAGTCATGAGACTTGAGATGCCATGAAATGTCTGAGCCGATGGGCCCGAACACCTCCCACAGAATTCCCCGTGGTCCAGTGTGGTGCTGTGACAACAGGTGGGTATCTGTCCTTGGAGAGGGGCTCAGAAACAGCTGACAAAGGTCAGGACACCAGGAGATCCTGAGTGGGGAATGGAGGATGGCTCAGGAAGTATGGATTGCCAAGTTGAAGAGGGAATGAGGCCATCTCAGATGGATGCCATCACCCGTACCCTTCAGGTAAGCTAGAATATGCCCAGGTTAACAAGAATAACAAAAAGAGGTCTAAGTGGCTGAAACAACAGGACTCATTTCTCACTTGCACTTCAGGTTGACTGGAGATCAGGGGAAAGCCCTGTGCTGGGTCAGCACTGTCCTGGGCCCCCCGGGATCTACTGGAGCAGCATTTATCTGGAAAGTTGCCAGTCTCTGTGGCAGAGGGGGGGGAAAGAATGAGGAAAAGCATGAACTGGTATCTAAACCTTCCTTCTGGAACTGACACTTGCTCTTACGTTCCATTTGCCAAAGCAAGCCACGTGGCCACACTTAGCTTATAGGAAAGTGCAATCCTGCCATGAGTTTGGAAGCATGGAGCCAGAATCTTTTCCAGCAATGACTGCCTAATGACTACCATGATCTCTCAAGCACAGAGCCTTGGTTCAGTGTGGTTAACTAACTTAGGCTTATGATTCAGGAACTGGTGCTAGAATTCCGAATTGGCTTAGGTTAAGTTTTTGCCTCCAGGCAGAATGGAGATCTGACATAGAAATTAAGCTGACATAGAAAATGAAGTTAAAAATCTAGAACACTGAGTTTGTGCACTGGGACTCGAATCTATCCCTTTGGTCATGCCACATCCTGCAGAAAGGCAAGTCAGGCAGGATCACAAAGCAAGAGCAGAATGATCACCACCATGAGCCAAAGTCCACCCCTGGAAGACATTTCCCACTGTCTGACCAAGATTTGTTTTGCTGGCAGGATGGGGGCTTTGGTTGGGAGATGAAGAGCCTGCTGTATCCCAACACAGGGTTTGGAATAGAAGAGAAATCTGGAGTTTACGGTTTTGAGAAAAAGAAGGGGCAAGGAGAGCCCGCAGAAACTGCAAATCACAGACAAAAATGGAAGTTTCCAGAGACAGCATCCAGTACTTCTACATTTTATTTAATAATAATAATAGTGGCTCTTTGAGAGCCCCCCCCATTGGCCCAGTGCCTGTGCTTGTTGCTCCCCATCTGCCCTCTGAGGGTGACTAGTGAGGCAGCTGTCACGATCCGGGTTCCGAGAGGGCTGGCCAGCGGCCCTTGCACTCTGCACCGTAGGTGCAAAGTTGGGGCTGGACGCTGGAGGTCACCAGAAGGATGGGGCTGCGATGGGGCTTTCTGCACTCATCTACATCCTGGTGCCTGCTCTCTCCTCCCTTTCCTGCCTCCGTTCTTCCGTCATTTCCTTCAGAGCCTGTTGCTCTGGTTGGACAGTGGCAAAGCAACACAGGACAGATGGACGGCCATCGCAGGGTCCAAGCGGGACTCGAACCATTGCAGAACCCCTCCTCTCAGGCTTTAAGATGGCCAAGAGTCTTTTCCGTCAGGCCCTTTCTCCAGGCCTCCTCTGCCTCTCATTCATTTCGGAGGGGCTGCCTGTCTTTCTTCTCCCTTGTTCAGCGCCCTTCTAATCTATTTTCCACACGGACCTTCTCCCTGACACAATTTGATTTTCAGGTTGCTAGCAGGCTTCTTTCTGGCTTTGATTTATGTGCCCCTTCTCGGTGCCACATGCCTTTGCTGTATAGATGTGTCTTTGCTACCTTTTCACGTTCCCTTTAAAGACCCACAGATGCTTGGCAGAAACGTTGTGGAAATAATGCCAAATTAAAGACAGTTCTCAGGAGCCTGGTATCTCAGACTTGATGTGGGAAGGAAGGAAGATTTAGAACTCCTCCGCGTGCAGAGAAAGAAGAGTGAAGGGCAGATTTTCTGCTGCTTATGGCTTGGTTTTTGAACTTCTTTTTATTGATTTCAGGCCCTTCTAAGGAAGGCAATGTAATGACACAGTTCAGAGGTACAGTGAGAAAGTGGGGCTGAGTTTCATTGGCGGTCCCTCTGGCACCGGGCTGATTCCACAGTTCCGGCTGCCCCCTCAGACCTCTGATTCTCCTCACATCTGTCCCTCCCCCCAAAGCCATTTGGGAGGTCAGTCCCCCCAAACCAGAAATATTTCAGACTTTCCTTGGTTCACAGCTACAGATGCTTTTCAATGCTCCGATTCTATTATTTTATATTTTATTTAAAATCCACTGGTCATTATCCTAATGCGTTTGCAAACCTGAAACTTCTTTGCGGACAAAGCCATAACCTCCAGTTGGGTGATAATTCATTTAGAAACTAAACGGGGGCAGGGAGGGAGGAGGAGTGCATGGATGAAATTAAGTTCCTTTAATCCCCACTTTGCACAAAGTCTTGCCTTAAACCAGACAAGGTCCATAAGCCCCGAGGAGGGATGGGGGGAGAGGTGTGGGCTGCCGGAGGCGCATGTGTCTCACCGCGTTGGGGCTGGACATCGGGGCTTGA